AGCACCAAGCCTGACACAGGCCTGAGCTCTCGGGGCCCTGCTGAAGCTGTGCCTCCAGTAGGCTTGACCAAAAGAGGGGTGTCCAGCTCTGCACCCCCAGGCCCATAGCCAAGGAGTCCGTTGGTCCTTCTGTACAGCCACCTGTATACATTGTACACATATAAATAAAGTGCGTCAGTACTGTGTGAGCTTGCAGGGCTTTCATCCATGGCAAGTCGAAACATCAAGTGCACCTGTCCCCTTGCCCCTGGACTGGTTGGGGGAGGAAAACATGGGTTCCTAGGGTCTCAAACTTCCAATTTCTCACCTTTGCACCTGCTACCCCCAGGCCCTTAAGAATAGAGGAGCCATGGGGCTGGGGATTTAGCTCAGTGGTCCGCCACCTGCCTTGCAAACTCAAGGACCCAAGTTCGATCCCCGGTACCAAAAAAAAAAAAAAAAAAAAAAAAATAGAGGAGCCGGGTGTGGTGATGATACACACCTGTAATCCCAGCAGAGAAGGCTGAGGCAGGAGGATTTCATGAATTCCATGCTAGCTTGGGTTGGTTGCATATAGAGTTCAAGACCAAGATGAACTACATAGTGAAAAACCTGTCTTACCGGGAAAAACAAACAAACAAAAACACCAACAGAGAAAGGCCAGTGTGGTTGTAATCCCAACACTCTGGAAGGCTGAGCAAGAGGATCTCAAGTTTGAGCCCAGTATGGGTAACTTAGTGATACAGTGAGACGATGTTTTTTTTTTGGGGGGGGGAGGCTGGGAATATAGTTCAGTGTGAGGACACTGGGTTCAGTCTGCAGTGCAAACAAAACAAAACAACAAAAAGTAAATGTTGCAACACTGTGTCCCACACCCACCTGAAGAAAGGTTAACAGCTTCATTCACCACTTTCCTTTTTTCCCCTCAATGATCCTGAGTGGTACATGATAATGATTTTCATTTTGCAGATGAACAGAGTCACAGACAAGATAAGGCACACAGGTCACACAACGAGGGAGATGAACTGTGATTCAAACCTAAGTCTAGGACTGGGTGCAGCTCAATGTAGAGCACATTCCTAGCACTGCAAAAAGAACAAACAGGAAAACTCAAGTCCAGGCTGATTCCTGAGCCTTCGTTCTTTGCCCTCCTGGCTTCCAGGCCCTGGGGTCTCCCTCACAGGGATTGGTGACCTTTGCCAGAGGCTGGAAGGCCTTCCAGAGGGCCGGCAGTTGGGTGCACAATGTTCCCCCTCCCCGATGCTCCTCTCCAAGGTTGCGATTCATGTCACCCACACAGACCCAGGGCTCTCTTGGGGCCACACACCACTTAGAATGGTCCTCTGAGGCAGAAAAGGTTGGTCCAGCTGGTCCAGGGAAGCTTGTCTGATTCACATTCAAAACGTGCCAGGGACCAGAGCAGTTGGATGGAAGGGTACCTGGAGAGTTCGGCCAGAACTGAACTTGCAGGTTTGTACTAAGAGCTTCTGCCAACCAGCCAGAGTACAGATCTGCGGAGGGAGGAAAAAGTATAGTCAGGGGCAGGCCAGGGTCCTTCTACAGATTCCCTAGGTCACCTCTCTTCTCTGAGTTCAAAGGTCAATTCTCAGCAACTCCCAGAATGGTGTGAAGAATCCTTACCAAATTCTTTACGTGCCTTGCATAACAATTCTTTGAGGTAGGCATCCCCACTTTTCAGATGAGTAAACTAAGGATCAGGTTAAATCATATACATACAGCCAGATGCCAGTATGTGGACCCAGCTGTGTCAGTTGATTGCCTCTCGTGTGATTATGGTTTCCAAAGAGATCTGGTCCCTGACCCTGGCCTGCCCAAGGCCCCTGACCCACCAGGCAGCCCCTCTGCAAAAGAAGAGCTCATCATTTCTCTGCTAGATAGCTCACCATCTCCAAATTTTGCAGCTTTGGTAAAGCTCTGAAAAGTATTCCCTGCCTGCGACGTGAGCATTACACTGCTGTTCCACGGTTCCCGGTGAATGTGTTGGCCCTTGACCACGTCCACCAGGTCAGGGAATTTCTGGGCAAAGATGTCATCTAGCTTGTAGTTAAAGACCAAGGGGAAGATATAGGCCAGCTGCCTGCCTGGAATGACAGGGGAAGAAGAAACTCTGGAGCAAGTGAGGCTTCGCCCTGCCCTCCTCTCCCCTGCTCTACTTACCAATCTTTGTGAACTCAGTGAGGGGGAAAGACACACAGATTAGGGTCTGCCCATAGGTTTGGGCATTGTGAGGCCAGGTGTATGCACCAGAAGACGGAGTGGGTGGGAAGCGTGGCACACTGTGGACCAGCCAGAAGCCTCCTTCTTGGTCCAGGAGCAGGACACCTGAAGCAGAAAAGGAGGGTTGGAGGTACTCAAGACTTTCCCCTCAAGCAAGCTCGTCAGCCAACAAGGACGCCCTCAGTTTGCTGGGGACTTGGACAGAGTGCAGAGAGAAAATATGTTCGCGCTTATCAGACCCCAGAGCAGGTCCCCACACTCTATGCAAGTCAAAAGTTACCTTGGAAGCCAGGTGCAGTGGTCTGTGCCTTTCATCCCAGCACTTTAGGAAGCTAAGACAGGAAAACTGAAAGACTTTTTTTTGCTTTTGAGACAGGGTCTCATTATGTAGTTCATGCTAGCCTCAACTCTCAGCAATCCTACCGCGATTAAAGGCATGCACCACCACGCCCAGCTTAAGCCTCTCTAAAAAGAATTGAGGATGTAGCTCAGTGCTAGAGTCCTGAGTTCAATCCCTGGGACCTCCAAGTCCTGAATCCGAAGTCAAGGCCTCACCCTTTGAGTGGCCACGGCTGGAAGCATCCGGAGCCCAGGCCGATTTGGGCGGCTGGTCATTGTACAGCAGAAAGGCGAGCTGGGGGGTAATGGAGGGGCACCGTGAAGGTCCACCCGCAGCGGGGCGTGCCGAACCCCCCCTCCCGGGTATGGCCCGGCTCCAACCTGACTGGCATTGCCCCGGTAAAGCGGCTGCAGGCTGCGGCCCACGGCGCCCTCAGAGCTGTTGATGGGCCCAGCACCGTCGCGCCAGCCCCCGGAGCCTGCGTCCAAGTAGCGGTAGCGCAGCCCCCTCCATGCGTCGTCCCCAGGGCCGCTCTGGGCGGGCAGCTTGTAGACCACGAACCTGCAGGGTGGAAAGGCACGGGAGGCTGGAGGGGAGAGAAAAGATAGGCTCCTCACGGGGCTTTGCGACTCCGGTGCTCCCCGCCCTACCGGCCTGTGCTCACCAGTCCACGGGCTGCCCCGCGTCCCCTTGGCAGCGCAGAGCCCCGCCGGGGACCCACAACAGCGCGCCCAGTAGCAGTGCGCCCAGAGAGACCATGTGGCTGCGTGGAGGAGCCTGTGTGTGTCGGGGTCACGGGAAACAGTCAAAAGCCCCGGACGAACCAACTTCCTCAAACTTGCCGGGCAGCCCGGACCGGTGAAAACCAGGGTGGAGACTCGCCCCCGGACTGGAACAGTGATTTGCACCACAGCCTCCCGCTCTGGGGCGGGGCTTCTTTCCGTCCTGCAGGCCCGCCCCTTCCAGGGCCTAAGCGAGCTGCGCTAGCAGGCTCCACCCTTGAGAGGCTCCACCCTTGGCCACGCTCCTTCTGGCTAAATCTGACCTCCAATTGGCCTCCTCGAGCCTAGGCTGGATTCCTCCTTTCTATGGCTAAAGTGGATCCTCGCTCATCCCTGGCTTTTGAATCAAGCACAAATTTAGATTCCTTTCTTGCCTTAGAACCTGAGCCCAACTCTTGTTACCTTTACTCTCAATGGACATTCCGGATCCTCCTCCTTTTCATCTTGCACGTTTTCCTGTGTTCCTCTTAAACTAGCCAAGGGGTCACTTTGCATTGTGGTTGGGCAAAGGGTGATTGATGATGGAGCTTTGGAGTGGGGCTGAGATTTTTTTTTTTTTTTTTGTACTGGGGATCTAACTCAGGTCCTTGTGCTTGCAAGGCAGGCACCAGAACCACTGAGCTAAATCCCCAGCCCTGAGATTTTTTTAAATTTTTGTACTAGGGATTGAACCCAAGAGTGAAAGGGGGGTCGCGTGCCCCTTCCCAATTAGGCCAGTCACGCACCGAGAAGTCCGGCAGGAGATCTTTATTGTAGGGAGGCGAGCAGGAGGCAGGAAGGGGGAGAGAGAGGGAGAGAGGGAGAGAGAGAGAGAGAGAGAGAGAGAGG